CCAGGATGGCTGAAGACAACTGGTTCTTCTTCAGTGTCCTAAGGAAGAAGAGGCGCTGGTGAGCCTTTTTGACCAGGCTGGAGGTCTTTGTGGTCCAGGACCAAACTGTCCCGCTAATGTGGATGGCGTCATGCGTGTTTCCTTTCTTCTTCCTAAAGTCCACAATAAGCTCCTTTGTCTTACTGGTGTTAAGGAGCAGGTTGTTGTTAGTGCACCATGCGGCCAGGTGCTGTACCTCCTCCCTGTAGGCAGTCTCATCGTTGTCTCTGATGAGGCCAATCACCGTGGTGTCATCTGCAAACTTGATGATGGAGTTGGATCCATGCACAGGCCTGCAGTCGTGGGTGTAGAGGGAGTAGAGGAACGGGCTCAGCACACAGCCCTGTGGTACGCCGGTGTTGAGTGTGATGGTGGTGGAACAGATGTGGCCTAACCTAACATGCTGAGGCCTGTTGGTCAGAAATTCCATAATCCAGTTGCAGAGTGAGGTGTTAATGCCCAGGTCTCCAAGTTTAGTGGTCAGCTCGGAGGGAATGACAGTGTTAAATGCTGAGCTGAAGCTTAATGTAGCTTGCGCCAACAGTCCTACATGGAAGCAGCTCCGGGAGCATGACGTATGAGGTCAGCTATAGCATATAGACTGCTGAGGACTGGGGTAAAGTCGTTTTCTCTGATGAATCCCCTTTCCGATTGTTTGGAGCATCCGGAAAAAAGCTTGTTCGGAGAAGAAAAGGTGAGAGCTACCATCAGTCCTGTGTCATGCCAACAGTTAAGCATCCTGAAACCATTCATGTGTGGTGTTGCTTCTCAGCCAAGGGAGTGGGCTCAATCACAATTTTGCCTAAGAACAAAACCATGAATAAAGAAAAACAAAAACAACCTCCGAGAGCAACTTCTCCCAGCGATCCAAGAACAGTTTGGTAAGGAACAATGCCTTTTCCAGCATGATGGATCACCTTGCCATAAGGCATATGTGATAATTAAGTGGCTTGGGGAACAAAACAGAAATTTTGGGTTCATGGCCAGGAAACTCCCCAGACCTTAATCCCATTGAGAACTTGTGGTCAATCTTCAAGAGGCAGGTGGACAAACAAAAACCCACAAATTCTGACAAACTCCAAGCATTGAATATGCAAGAATGGGCTGCCATCACTCAGGATGTGGCCCAGAAGTTGATTGACAGCATGCCAGGGCGAATTGCAGAGGTCTTGAAAAAGAAGGGTCAACACTGCAAATACTGAGTCTTTGCATAAACTCATTGTAATTGTCAATAAAAGCCTTTGACACTTATGAAATTCTTGTAATTTTACTTCAGTATACCATAGTAACATCTGACAAAAATATCTAAAAACACTGAAGCAGCAGACTTTGTGAAAATTAAAATTTTTGTCATTCTCAAAACTTTTGGCCACAGCTGTACTCCCTGACCATAATGAATTTCCCTTACTGTTGTGCAATGCTTTACATAATCTTAGATTTAGTCCTTCTGCCAAATTCTCACCCAGTTTACTTTCTTACCATCATCAGCTTGACAGACGGCAGTAAAGGTCCAAACCGGAATGAACAGTTGCACAACATTTACAGCATTCATTGTGGTGATTCTGCAATAAAAAATTACAAAAATTTGCAATTTGGACAAATAATGAACTACCAGAGATTAGATAGTAGATAACAACTTCAAAAAGAAGATGATTTACAGAGAGCTTTTTGCACACTTACAGTCAAGTAGGTCTTCACACTGTGAGTTTATTTCACATGAACATAACTAAGTTTCAGAATCACTCAACTACCTGTCTCGGCACAGTGGTTTTTGACCATGTTTATTTTCAGATCGAAAAAAAAAAAAAAAGGTGTGATATGCAACAAAAGAGTGCTGTTGCTGTTATAACTAATGTCAAACACTGATGGAAATGTTTGTTAATGATTATTGCATGCATAAGCGTGTGATATTTGTTATTTTTAATGGCATCAGTGCATTAACTAAACACCCTGAAAATGACCTTTAAAAGCGGACCTCTCAAAAATGTCTTTTAATATAATTCACAAAGAGCATCAATCATCAAACAATCAATTTTGAAATCTAAAACAATCAAGTACACGTGGGAAGTCTGGTGTGTTTCATTATAGTTTGTTATTTATTTCTGTATTTTAGGCCATCATAAAGAGAGGCTGTACAAACACGGTCCTTACAGAACTTCATACAAGCGAACCACATATGAAAGACCAGGAACAAAGTGAAAGAATAAAGTAAAAATAAAAAAGTAAACAAAACAATTTAGTGTTTCCTTCACTTTCAGTCGATAACAACATCAGTTTTGTCCTCATTGACATTATAACGAGCTTAAACAAGCAGCAATCCTCCACCAAGAGTCATCAAACGACACTCAATCCACAACAGAATCACCTCAGAACAAGACACAAGATGCAAATGAGAGCAGAAGAATTTCATGCCATTTATGTACATTCAGGTGCTGCTTAATTAAAAATATAGTTTCATATGATAATCATATTGGTCATAGTCGACTGATTTCATCATAGCAGGACACGACAGATGCTCAGCAGAGTCAGACGTGATGTGTGTGTTTGTATGTGCATTATATAGAGCAGTATATCGACACACACTGGACAGTAAATCAGCATTAAACATGAAAAGTCAACAAAATGACATAAATATGCATACAAACACAAACCGAGCAACGCATCAGTGGATCTCTCCACTCTCGCTCTGGTTTCGTATGTTTGGCTGAAGACAGCGCTCTGCTGGTAGAAGAATGCATGGCAACTGTTACATTATATTCAAATGACACCTGAGCAGAGAATGGCTTTCCGACTTTATATTCACCTAAAATCGCACAAGATTATTCAACATCATGCTCTCTGGATATACAGCGCTGTATCGATAAGGTGGACTATATTAGAGGAACAACAGCAGATTTCAGCTATGAAATCAACACTGACTGTTGATGAATTGAGTAAAACTCAAAACAGGTCATGATTTCACACCAAAATCAACACAAAAAGTATTCTAGTTAAAGATTTTCAGGACCATACATGCATTACAGCAATGGGATATAAAATGTGTGCTTCATTGTCATGAAAATAATGTCTAATGTCACAATGCCAATATCAAAAATAAATAAATGGTCTTGAAAAAAATAGGTCAAGATATTCAAGCCCATTTTAGGACAATTCAATAAAAATAATAATAATAATGAATTTTATTTAAATTGCACTTTTCTCAAACCCAAAGTGCCATTAAATAATATAAATATATAAATAATTGTCTTAAAATGGGCTTCAATATATTTACCAAAAATTTTATTATATTTATACATCATAGTATTATTTTTTTTGTATTTTACATAATGCCAATTTCAATTAAAAAAAAAGCTGTTTTATTACAGTATGTCAGGCTACATTAAATAGAAACTAAAGAGTATAAAATGATGGGAATTTCAAAATAAATGCATGTACTTGGAAGAAATATGCTTAATTTTCATGAAAATAATGTCGATATAAAAAAAAAACCGAATTAACCCTTAACGGTCCTAAAAAAAATCATATTTTTTCCTTTTGATTTTGGAGTGAAATGTGACTTAGATGCGTTTTCTTGTGATATTCACCCAAATAACTTTTACAAAGTTCATAAACAGGCATTCATTTTTTACTTGTATTCCTCTTGTATTTCCTCCTATCTGCCCTTTAGACTCTCTATAATAACACTGTAAGATAATATCAGTTTCGACTCGAGTCAAGACAGCTCAGAGAGTTTGAGGAAATGTTATCTTACACCATATTTACTCACTGAAACACCACATGATTATCTGCAAAAGGATCCATTAAGGAAAAAACAATGCTTGAGATTGAAATGTGATGCCGGAATCTCGTCACCATGCTGAAAAACATGGTACATTCAACGGTTTCAAGCACCCGATTCATCGCGTCACAGGATGCTGCGTGCCGTGTAATTAAACATCCACATATGCGTCGATCACACAAACAGGCCTATGCTGAATATTGCATGTGGCAGTTTTGATTGACACACCACATTCATTATAAGTTTTAAAACATTCCTTAAATAGGTGATATATTTTTGCGCATATACACACTCTCTCTCATCGATTACATAAGAAAGCAATAAGGGGAAGTGCGTCTTAAACACTGACTAACTGCGTTTAACAGGAAAAAGATGACATTCAGTGCGCTGCGTGGGTAACGGGTCCGTTTGACTCATGAACTACACGCTGTGAGCCTCCTACCGACTTCAGCTTCTGTTGAACTGAACAAACACGATAGATTGTCACTAGTCAGCCATGCTGTACGCAGCAGACAACATTCAGCCAAGAGAATAATGCAGAAAGACAAGGACGAGAAGCTAAAATAGAGCATATTCAAGAAATGAACTATACAGACAAAGATACACGTCTCTGTTCGTTTCACTGCGGAAATCATTTTCTCAAACTGTTTTTTTTGTATCTTGTCTTGTTCTCTCACTAAAATATCTAAATAGCCTTAAAACGTAATTTTGCATATTATGATTTCAGAGAAAACGTCTTGGATTTTGCGAATTGGTCTTTTTCCCTGTTTTAGGCATAAATCGAACAATATTTAGTGAGGTTTCTGCCTAAAAACTATGGGGGGAAAAAAAATCTAATTTGCCAATAGAATTTGTTTTCAGTGAATATATCTTGAATTAAGTTTATTTTTCTTAACTTATTCACAAATAGATTTTTTAAGAACGAATCTAACAATATAGTGAGGTTTGTGCTTGAAAATGAGAAAATTGCTAATAAACTTAATTCAAGATTACAAAATTTTTTCTCAACTAAATAGATTTCATTTTAATTTTCACCAAAAATATTAGAACTTGTTTTCAGAGAATATATATTGAATTAAGTCTATTTTAACTAATTTGTAAATAGCTTTTTCTTGTTTTAAGCAGAAATCTAACTAAAAGAGATTTTAGAAAACAATATTTTCTATATTTCAATATTCAGAAAACAAGAAAAAAATATTTTCAATGGGGTGAGAAAAACCTAATTCAAGACATATGCAAAATTTGTTAATGGATATAATTCAAGACAATATACAAAAATGGTTTCTCAACTAAATTGGTGTCTCGATTTTCAACAAAAATATCTAAACATTCTTAACATGTACATTTGCATACTGAAACTTGTTTTCAGAGAATATAACTTGAATTAAGTTGATCTTTTTTCTGAATAGTTTTTTCCTATTTTACGCATACATCTTACAAAATTTGGTGAGGTTTGTGCTTAAAAACTAGGGAAAAATACAATCTGTAAATTAGGTAAGAAAAACTTAATTCAAGACACAATATACAAAATTTGTTTCTCAATTATAGATCTAATTTTAAGGATGCTTAAATATTTTTATAAGAAAAAAGGCAAACTACTGATTGAGAAAATGAGTTTCGCAGTGTAATTATATTTAGTGTTCAGTGCAAAAGACGTTTTAGGGCAAAACGGGGTTTTGCAGAGCAAACGGATGGTGCATTTAGTGACTATGATGTCCCTGTGCATTACTGTACAAATACAGATCGCTAACGCTTAGAACAACATGAAGAAATAACTAGTTGCATACGGGCTAGTCAGTTTTCTGCTCATCTACCGTTCATAAACACGACAAAATGAGACGCCCATATGACAAATAACAAGCATCGTGTTTCACCGTGCAAAATACACAGATCCTAGACGTCGCCCTGCCAAGCGTTGATACTTTTCGTGACCATTTTGAGCAGAATTTGTGAATTTTAATATGCATGGTAAACAAATGAGTTATTTCTAGAAATGCAAAAACTGAAGACCTTCTAACACGATCATATTTTAAAGGTTTGAAGACGTTTAGGCCCAGATTTGACTTGGTAGTGTGCGATGAAATGGCTTCAGGTAAGAACTCGCAGAAGAAACCGAGAACTAGAAGGCAAAGGAAGGTTATGCATTTCATATTTACGTTCCTCCGAATCCTAATCACGTTGTCCCATCCAGATCCCATAGCACCTTGTATTGTGACATCACCCAGCCATCAGCCAATCACAGAGTCAGATTCAGTCGGAATCAACACCCCTTCCTGATGGCACACAGAGCAGGGAGGGCGCACACAGGAAAGAGAGAGACCTCACTTCCTCTCCAGTACAGCGAGCTTCCTGTGGGTGGCGGCGGCGGCTTCACTTGCGGACGGCCTGCCGGTAGCTGTGTCTCTGGCCCTGACCGCGGGAGCAGCCGTTGTTGCCGTTGCCGGATGGTTCTTGTGCGCCGGCGGCAGCGCTTTGACTCGCACCATCTCTGGTGCTGCAGGTCATACTGCTCTCCTGCAGCGTGGGGCTGGATTGAGCTCTCTGTAGCGCACCTTCCTCCAGGAGCATGGCTTCAAACACTGACAGGTCATCGTCGTCGCAGCGCTGCTTCGCCCGCAGGAGCATGCTGTACGTCTCATAGCGCGTTTTCTACAAGATGGAGACGTTTCGTTAATTGGCTGAAAATGTCAGCCAGAACTGGCTCAGGCCATCCAAGATGTAGATGAGTTTGTTTCTTCATCAGATTTGGAGAAATGTAGCATTGCATCACTGTCTCACCAGTGGATCCTCTGCAGTGAATGGGTGCCGTCAGAATGAGAGTCCAAACAGAGGTTTTTAACTTCAAACTGATGCTTCCAGCTAAAATACTTGTGAAATACAGTGAAAAACTTGTCTCGTCTGAATCAGGAGAAAAATCTGCACAGATCAAGCACCGTTTACAAGCCAAAACAGCTCTAATCAAATATGTGGGTGGATTTTGATGTGAGAGACAACAGGAGATTGACTTTTTCATTATTATGGATTATGGACTCATATTTTAGCCAGAACTGACAGTTTGAAGTTACAAATGCCTCAATGGTGGATTTGTTTCTTTCAAACATGCAGCTTTTGTCTTTTAAAGACGTTAACTGAAGGACTGGAGTGGTGTGGATTACTTGTGGATTATTGTGATGTTTTTATCAGCTGTTTGGATTCTCATTCTGACGGCACCCATTCACTGCAGAGGATCCATTGGTGAGCAAGTGATGCAATGCTACATTTCTCCACATCTGTTCTCATGAAGAAACAAACTCATCTTGGATGGTCTGAGGGTGAGCACATTTTCAGCAAATTTTCAATTTTGGGTGAACTATTCCTTTAAGAACAACATAGTTAATCAGTGCATTAAATTGATCAAAAGTGACAAAAGACATGTCTGATGTTACAAAAGACTTCTGTTTCAAATAAATGCTGTTCCTTGCAACTTTCTATTCATCAAAGAATCCTAAAAAAAAAGTATCACAGTTTCCACAAAAATATTAACCAGCGCAAACTTTTTCAAAATTAATAATAATCAGAAATGTTTCTTGAGCAGCAAATCAGCATATTATACTGATTTCTGAAGATCATGTGACACTGAAGACTGGAGGAATGATGCTGAAAATACAGCGCTGCATCACAGGAATAAATTACATTTTATAATATATTCAAATAGAAAACAATTATTTTAAATTGTAATAATATTTCAAGATATTACTGTTCTTACTGTATTTTTGATCAAATAAATGGAGCCTTGATTTTAAAAGAGACTTCTTTCAAAAACATAAAAACATTTTTTTTGAACCATAGTGTATATTTACCTCAAACTCTAGATATTCCTCCTTCATTCGGTACTCCTCAAGTTCACGACCTTTCACCTTCCTGTCAGGTGGATACGAGCGCAGTTGTACGAGCTCAGTGGAGATGGAGCGAAATCGAGCTTCATGAGCCTGTACCTGCTCCTCCTACACACATCAACACACACTTTATAACAATGTAGTTTATATAAACACAGATACAGTACATGCACAGTCACTCTTATAAAACAGTGAGCCTCCTTGCTGTTCACTGACTGCACAGGCAGCTGTCTTTAAAGGAAGCATCATAACTGAAATCAATAAGTGATGCATGTCATGCAAATAGGTAAAATAATTATTAATAGTTATTGTTAAATAATTAGTAACACTTAACAAAAAGGTTTCTTTTTTAACTACATTAGTTGACATGAACTAAAGATAAACAATACTTCTACAGCATCATTTATTAATCTTAATATTTACTAATGTAGTTAACTAATGAAATCTTACAGCAAAGTGTTACCAATTTATTCATATGTATTTATTATTATATTCATATTATTTATTATTATACGACTTAATTATTTTTCAAGTACAAAGCCTTATAATGATAACATTTATACAGGTATGTGACAACATTTATGCAAATCCGCTCATTTGACCTGCGACAGCTTGGAGGCGGAGCCTGGCAGCAGCGGCCGACTGAATTTCTTCTGTGAGCCAATGGCAGCAGGGAGGGGCGGGGCTGAAAACATGGCTGCCACCGTGTTGATGCGTGTGATCCAAGACTGCATTTGTTCAGCATTCCTACACAAATAAATCAAATCCACGTTAATAATGATAGAAGACATCTAAAAGAAGAACCAGACTGCAACAGACGGGTTCTAGAAGTAAAAATCTCATTAAAGGTTTTTAGCCATAAGATGTAGAACGAGCTCTGTGGTGGTTCAATGATGAAAAGGAAGCAGTGTGATAGACATTTTTACAAAAATGCTTCATTAGAACACTACATATAATCCTAAAACCGTTCCACCAATCTGAGGAGTCATGGAATCACAGGAAAACAGCGGATGAAATGTTTTTTTTTTTTTTCGAAATGCAAAAACACTCATATACCCACAAAAAAGTGGATTTTCCAGCACAAGCAATGAGAGCTGAAACTGGGGCAAACTTCAACTAGAGCAGAGCGAGTTCTCCTGGGGAACAGGGATGTGTGTGAACACACACACACACACACACACACAATAGAAAGAAACACAGCTGACAGGACTGCATGAGTGTTTTGAATTGGACAGAAAAGACATCACATGCTGAGCTTCATGCTGCACAGATTATTTATTCCAGTTAAAGATTAATGTTCTTGTTTTTTGTATAGAAGCATATGCACATGTGGTTAGCAAGCAATTTTCACAACTGTGTGATACAGATTTGTCAATCTGAATACTAATTTTTCTACTAAGAACATTGTGCAGTGCTAGTTGCCAAGGCAACACTTCTCCTTTTCATTTAGCTTAACTTGACGTATTAAAATAACTAAAACTGAAATAAAAATGAATAAAACAATTATATAGACATATTTTAAAAAAACCTAAAACTAATAAAAATAACAAAAACACACAAGAAAATCATTAAAAATGTAACTAAAATGAAAAAGAACTGAAATAAAAATAAAAACTATGTAGACATATAAAAAAGATAAAAATGATAAGAACAGACAGCAAAATAAAAAACTAAAACTTTAACTAAAATTAAAATGAACTGAAACATAAAAAACATAGACATACAAACTAAAAACCATAAAAATGTTAAAAAGACAACAAAATCACTAGAACCTAAACTAAAATTAAAATAATCTCAAATAAAAACTATATAGACATTAAAAAAATCAAAAACTGATAAAAATGATAGAAATCAGACAATAAAATGACAAAGTTTTAACTAAAATTCAAAAGTAAAAGTAAAATCAAATTTGAATAAAAACTATAATAGTATCTAGTAGTGCATTTGCATGTATAACAGAATATTCAACTAGAACATAATAAAATGTAGGATGAGACTTAATTTTATCCAAGTGGAACTGATGGTGAATTTATTGTGATGTCTCTAGATGAGAGGAGGTTGGAGGGAAACATAATAAGCTTAATGGCATCAAATGAAAATGGAGTTATTACATTTTGATGACTATGGCATGTCTTCCTAAACAGGTTTGCGGTGTTTTGTGGTTGAGTGTGTGAACTCACGGAGCCTGAAAGAGGTAGACTCTCCAGTCCGCGGTCCGGAGGTAAAACACGTTTGGCCGTTTGCTGTAGTCTGTGGCTCGGATGGCCAGCGAATGATGAATAGACACCGCATTCTTCAAATCCTCATCTGATAACTGTTTATCTGGTCGATACTCGCCCTGGAAACACAATTATCCTGTTATTATTCAAAACATATATCAGAGATGACCTCCGAGTATGAAATGTGTTATATAAATAAACTTGCCTTGCCTCATAGTGCCCTCTCATAATTACTGATATACTGACCATACTGTCATCCTACACATTAAAACAGCAGATTACCATCAAACTGCTTATATCCGAAAAATGCAACGGCAGTTGATATATAGTTTCTATTAATATTGCTTAAACTTAGTGTGTTAGGGCCAGTTCCAGTAATCAACACTAAATATTAAACACAGTCACATAATTTATCCTGCATTGTTGGTGTTACAGACATGAATGAGTCCTCAAATAATGCAGCTTGTTGAGAAGACCAATTCTGAAGCAATTCCTTTGTTTTCTTTTCCTTTTCTACATAATTATATGTAGAAATAAAAATTATTGAAAACTATATAGACATATAAAAAAACAAACAAAATAATAATGAAAAAAATACACAAATAAAATCATTCAAAATATTAATAAAACTACAATAGTATATTAATGATACTATCATTGAGATACTATTATAGCTTTTTATTTAGTTTTCATTTTTGTTTTTTGTTTTGTATTTTACTCATTTTTGTCGGTTTTTTTAAAGGGGTCATATGATGTTGCTAAAAAGAACATTATTTTGTGTATTTGGTGTAATGAAATGTGTTTATGCGGTTTAAGGTTAAAAAAACACATTATTTTCCACATACAGTACATTATTGTTTCTCCTCTATGCCCCGCCTTTCTGAAACGCATCGATTTTTACAAAGCTCATCGTTCTGAAAAGCGAGGTGTGCTGTGATTGGCCAGCTATCCAGTGCGTTGTGATTGGCCGGATACCTCAAGCGTGTGACGGAAATGTTACGCCCCTACCATACTGTGATGCCGTCTCCCGACATGACCAGACAAAACCAATAAAACCCATTACAAACGAGGCATTCTTTGCATTTAGTGGGGACATAATTACGGATTATAATGACTTATACTGTCTTTTTAAGTGCTGCGTTGCATCGCACCTTGTCTGCATTTGTGATCAGAGAAATGACAAACAACAAGCGCTACTCTACACTGCTCAAAACTCGCGTTTGAATCATCAGTGGCAGGCCGGCGGCTAGAGTGAGCGGAGGCCGGCGGCTTGAGGGAGCGGAGGCCGGCGGCTTGAGGGAGCGGAGGCCGGCGGCTAGAGTGAGCGGAGGCCGGCGGCTTGAGGGAGCGGAGGCCGTCGGCTTGAGGGAGCGGAGGCGAAAGGTGACAAATTCTTAAACAATTCCTATGCTTTTCTTTTCCTTTTCTAGACATTTTGACCTGCTTTGAAAGCATTGCTATTGCTTTTGGAAATGCACATCTAGTGTTCTTTATGCTGCAGTAACTGTGGAGAGAAATCCAGTGTGTTTAAAGACTACAGGAGTTCGGATTCAGACCCTCTATCAGACTCGGTGTGATATTTTGGGTCTGTCTCGCTGCGCGTCCTGCCTAGAGTGAATAAAAGTCTTTCCCCCGACAGTTTTCGCTCTCCACTTCCCTCCCGCTGATCATAAACCCCCCGAGTGTGGCAGACGCTATCGATCGAGTGCGTGTTGAAGTAAAGTGCTCTTCCCAGCGGGTTTCTCTCTCACACCTGCCACCGGCGGCCTGATGCTCTCCATCACAGAAATCAAATCAAAGACTTGATCGCACAGGCCAATCTATTATGGCATGCCACTGCGAGACGACCGCAGGTTAAATGGATGGGTGTTTCAAAGCCGTCGTACTATGAAAAATCGAATTCTCCTTGAATTTTTGGAAACTGAAGTGTTCACTGTACTATTTAGGCTTGCTTTAACACCACTTTCCCAACCATGAGCACATGTAAGTCAATTGCAGGTCCCACTCTACTTTTTGGTTAAACATCCCTTTTCATTTGGAAATTATGGAAGTAAATTGGGCTACAAATGCCACTCCATGCAGATCATTTGAATATATGACAGCATGCATTTACATATCAAGGCCTATTTAGTATGCTGCATGATGAATGACTGATGAATGAGCCAAACCAAAACAGGTCATTTACATCTAGAAGTCTTAGGAACAGTTGCAAAAACAGGTGGAAATGGCCATGAAAAATGAAATAGTTTTTAGTGCAAGAAACCTTGACTAACATTTCAAATGAATTTCAGAGCAGGGTGATTATTGTTGACTGAAACTGAAAACTAAACTATTAAAAACACATTTTGCTACTTGAAATTGAATAAAACAAATAAAATATATAATTTTTATTTTTTTTATTTACATTTTATTCCACTAAAACGGAAATAAACATTAAAAATTATAAAACAATATAGTCTTTATTAAAAACTATACATTTTAATTCTCTAAAACTGAAATAAAAGTTATTCAAAAATATATATGCATGTTAAAAATAATAATAAAAATGACAAAACAACACAATTACAAATAAAAATAAATTCAAAATATTTATAAATAAAACTACATGAGACACAATAAAAGTACGATAAAAACATTTAAACACCAGAGTACGAATCAGTGTTATTTTATTATCACTGGGATACTATTATAGTTTTTAATATTTTAAATTATTTTTTTTTATATTTTGTTTTAATTTTAATGTTTAAAATTTTTTGTTTTTATCATTTTTATATTTATTTTTGAATGTCTAAACAGTTTTTATAAATTTTTAGATATTTTAGTACATTAAGTTAAACTAAATGAAAATGAGAAATGACGCCCTGGCTGAAACTAACTAGTTTTTTATAGTTTATTTTATTTCAAGTAATTTATGGTTTTAGTTTTAGTTAACTACAATAACCTGTACGCATAAAATGTGAGCGCTTTAAAGCAGGAGAGTGGATGTGTGAATGTTCCTGTCTTTCTCGGCTGTTTTTATGAGGTCTCTCGCCACATTCTGCACACTCTGAGGTGTAATATTTCTCGTGAATACACACATCGAATGTCTGAGGTCAGTGAAGAGACCCCATTAATGGTGTCTTTCTCAGAGAAAGGACGTGCATCACACTGCCGTCCCATCCGCGTGATGTTTCTCAGGGGAGAGACGCTCGACGAGTCTCTGCAAAGACTCGTCGACACCAACCTGGAAATCACGAGAACCAAAAACCTTCAGCTCACCTCCACGAACCAGCAGCTTTCCCAGCCACCATTAACACAAAAACAGAGACGAAAAACAGTTTCTTCCTCAAAACGATTTAGCTACAAAACACACAAGAGTTCGAAATAATGCTACTGCTTCAGCGCTGTTCAATACTGATAAACCCTTTAACATTCAACTCTATGAGCCCATGTTTTTTTACTTAAATTATTTTTAATAGACATAAAAAAAATGACCTCATTGCTTTTTTTAAATGTATATTTTTATCTATAAGACAAAGCTCTACCATATGGTTTTAAATTTGCAGAACTATATCATGCAAACATATTTTTTTACTTAATTAGGTTTTAGATACGTTTCATAATTATCAGAGTCAACAAAAAATAAAATGCATTCAAAAAGTCTGTATAGAAATATATACTACTGTATATTGCGGTCAACCTAATATCCAGGCCATGTTCAGTGATTTAAATTTTTTTTTTAAATGTATATCAGGAACAAAGTCTTAATTCATTCATTTCAAAAGTATTAGCAAATAAAAGTACATTCAATTATTTCAGAAATTTAAATACTTTTAATTAGTAATTATTTGTATTCCAAAGAACTGGAAGTTTTTTGTAATTTCGCTTTAGTTCACAAAGTAATTATTTGTACATAAAAAAAACTATAAATAAATAAATAAATGCAAACAGGCAGTAAGTGAATTGTGCATCAGTTTAAGTATTTCAAGACTGATGTAAACACTTTCTAATTTTTAGTAGTGGCAGCTATAAAACAGTACAACATATCAATCAAAACGATAATAGTATATTAGTATTATGGTGGTGATATTATGCACATGCAAACACCATTCACATTTACTTTGCGAGTAAAAAAAAAAAAAAGTTCTTATATAAAGTCTAAGGTTTTAATCTATTCCAATTCTGAATCTCTCAGATGTCAAATTATTTGAGATAATTATCCCATGACAACACTGTCTTCATAAACAGCATTCAAATGACACAAGAAGAAACAAATGATGTGAAAAGCAGCCTGATTATGTGTGCACCGCTCTAAAATGGGTGAAAAACAATGATCAATCACTCTCACATGTGCGTAAAACTTCAAGCCTGTTGCCTGGTAACCGGAAGAGAGAGAGAGAGAGAGAGAGAGGGTCGGAGGACAGATGGAGAAAAAAAACGCAACCTTAAGAATAAATTTAGCCAGAGCCATTACAGCAGACTCAACTGCAGACGTGATTTTATGAAACACAGAGAGACTAATGACAGTAATCACACAGCCGACTCCAGATCAGATCAGCACAACGCATGACTGAAAGAAAGTGTTAGATGGCAGGGGGGGCATTTTTAATCCCTTTGGTGATATTCAATATATATCTCAAATCTGGATATTTATGCTTTTAATTATTTATTGTTTCCATTATTTCAACCAAACACCTATTTGCATGTAATTATATTCAAAATGTTCAATTAAAAAATAAAATACAGTACAAACAATGCTACATTTTAATTACATTTTTTTATTAATTATTTTTATTTATAGTAATTTAATTTAATTTACAGTAAATGCACACTACTGTTAAAATTAGTTTTTTAAAGAAATTATTACTTTTATTAAATTGATCACGTTAAATGGATCAAAAGTGACAAATACATTTATAATGTTACAAAATATTTTTATTTCAAATCAATGCTGTTCTTTTTAACTTTCCAATAATTTCCTCTACAATCTGACTCTATCTGTACTTTCTATTCATCAAAGAATCCTGAAAAATTAAATGTATCCACAAAAACACGAATCAGCACAACTATTTTCAACACTGATAATCATCAGAAATGTTTTTTGAGCAGCAAAGCAGCATATTAGAATGATTTCTGAAGATCATGTGACACTGAAGACTGGAGTAATGATGCTGAAAATTCAGATTTATATTACAGGAATAAATTACATTTGATAATATATTCAAACAGAAAACAGCTATTTTAAATTGTAATAATATTTAATTTTTTTTCTATTTTTACTGTATTTTTAATCAAATAAATGCAGCCTTGGAGAGCAGAAGAGACTTTGTTCAAAAACATTAAAAAAGTCTTACCGACCCTAAACTTTCGAATTGTAGTGCATATGTGATCAAAATGCAGTAAGTCAAATTAAATTGCATTGTGAAAAGACTATGAAAAGCACATATCTACTTAATTGTGAATCAAGTATTCCAGCTTTAATGACAGCTATACAATCAGACACACTTTCGCTCGACAACGAAGACATCCGATGCAAAACATACAGATTGTTTTTAAACTCTCAGATCTTTTTGAACTCATTCTAACCAATGCATGCAAGTCATTCTCACAATTTTGACAAAAACCTCACCTACATCAGCCAGCTAGACAACATTACCTTGGTGACTCATTAAAATCAGCAGAATTCACATGCTAATATTAAAATAACAGCATGAAAGCAATGCACGAGACTGCAGAATCTGAGTTTCAGCGGCTCGATACGGATGGGCCGGTGTTTCTCGGCTGTGCTCTTGTTCATGAGCTCAAGGAGGGACAGATGAGGCTATTTTGGGAGCTGCAGTAGGAGTCTGTGGGTTCACCTTTGCTCAGGATGTGAGCGGGGCCCTTTAAAGAGCACTGTGGTGTGTGTGGGCGTGTGGATGAGTGTTGAACATGAGAACAAGGTTAGGGCTCCGTGCGAGCGAGAGAGAGAGGGGGTGAATTCATATCGACAGAATGCAGCCGAGCCGTAACTATGCAGCGGTATCCATGGAGCCGTAACCATAGCAACGGCACTCGGAAAGCCAGGGTCTTTAATTGGTGTGTGTGTGTGTGAATACAGAGAGAGAATAGCCAGCACACACACACACACACTATTGTTTCTAGCAAATAACACGTCTCCAATGCCTGAAACACTAAAACCTGCTTTCCTTTCACTATTTATTATTATGGCATCACTCTTGTATCTTTGTGAAAATTTACAATGGCAATCATTTTATTTTTATTACGGTTATAAAGCATCACTATTAAACAAAGAAATTACTTTCCAAGTGACTGAACATGCAATTTCATCCTGCTAGATGATAAAATGGGCAAAAATAAGAGACTGCATATCTAGATACTACAAAAGCATAGAGACCTGAATTGGAAAAATATTAAGCATAAATGTAATATTTATATATTATAGTTACAAAATAAAATCTTGAAATACTTTATTAAATCAAATAAAAACTTAATATTATTTTATTTCACATTTCATTCCAAGGCAACGTCTCATTTTCATTTAGTTTAACAATGTTTTAAAATAACTAAACGGAACACTGAAATAAAAATAAATAAAAACAAGATGGATATGTTAGAAAATACACACAACAAAATTCCTAAAACTTTAACTAAAATTGAAACAGAAAATATAAAAATAAAAACTAATTCTAAATATTCATTCAAACTATAATAGTATCTCAATTATACTAAAATAATATATATTTATATTTATATATTTGTGCATAAAACATTTCCATCCATTTGGATTACACAGATTTAATAGAAATTAATAAACTTTCATAAATTATCATGAACGTTTATCATATCATATACATATATCAAACAGGTCAGATTTCGGTAATACAAACTGATTGTGTTTTAAAAACACAATATCCATGTTTATATATTTAGCATCAATAAATCAAATTTATTGATGCTAAATATATAATCTTTTATATTATATAGTTTTAATCTTTTACATTTTAACTAACTTCATATAGCTAGCCATATGTTCATACTCTTTAAAAAAAAATATTTTTTTTTTACTTACTTTACTTACTAAGTCTGTTCATGTTGAAACTGTGGAAATTTTAAATGCAATTCAAATGCATAAATCTTACATTTAGGCCTAAATATTTTTTTGAATGTAGCAACCACCCAAACGCAATACAACACATGAAAAACAATACCTTGTTTTTGCCTAAGCAAACAATCACTCATACGTTCCAAATATAGTTATAGATTTTACAATAATGACAGTAGCTGTATTAACTCTGCTAATTTTGAGGAAACTATGGTTACCATGGTAATGTGTTCTTAAAATTATAAAATTAGTTGACTCGTGTTTCTCTGTGGGTAGTTTGGTAGTAACACATTGCATCTACAGTAAAACCTTACATTCATTAAATGGTGAAAGCAGGAAGAAAACACTTACATTGTCCACTGCAGCTTTTCATTTTTAATAGAGTTGTACAGGGCCTGCAGAGAGAGAGAGAGAGAGAGCGAGAGCGAGAGAGAGAGTCACAACTGAGCTGTAAATGACTGTGTTTGGTTTCATAGACTGGCGTATGAGTTGCATCATATGTATAATCTGCAGTAAGTGGCATCATAATCAGACTGTGACAGATGACAAGTCTTGAAATAAACATCTGATTCAGATAAAGTCACACCGTCTACACAAATAAACGTCAATCTGGACATCAATCCACATCAATACCTAACAATCAGTGAAGCATTAATTTAACTCTACAACCAAGAACCCAAACCTTTTCCAACCATATCTTTTTTTTATAAGAAAAATTAATAACCAAAGAATAGAGAATAGATAAATGTTTAAGCATGTCTGGTTCCCCTTCAGGAACTCGAGCTGCGTTGAAATGCTACGGGAACGCCTCCAGTGTGACCACGCTCTGAATCACATGTGTAATCAGTCCAATGGATGGGCAGACGTCATGGGCAGGGTCAGTCTTATTTGGTGTTGGCTGTCCATTATCACTCTTTATTTTACCAATATGAGTGTAGACAAACATACGGCGAGAGCCGGCAGCATCTCAGGCTGTGTGTTCTTCCCTGCCCGCACTACATTTCGGGTGGGGATACACACAGTTTGTGTGTTGTCTGCTTGGGAGCAAAACACGCAGAGTCAGCTGACTGTCCGCATTGCGAGGACTCTCTTTGAGGAGGGAGTCTTCACCGGCGTTTCTCGCGGCGCCGGCCCCGCTTTCGCCAGAGGTGGAGTGGCGGCTGTGGTCGTGGGGGTTGGCCATGGGTCCGGGGATTGCGAGGACTCTCTTTGAGGAGGGAGTCTTCACCGGCGTTTCTCGCGGCGCCGGCCCCGCTTTCGCCAGAGGTGGAGTGGCGGCTGTGCTCGTGGGGTTCGCCTATGGATCCGGTGGAGGGAATGTAGACAGACGAGTCCCTATCTTCATAACCACCAGATCCAGCGCCCGCTCTCTGGGTTTGGAAGCCTGCGCTGCGGTTCTTCCCCCCCGGGGAGAGGGCTCGACGCTCCTCCTTTCTTCCTCTGAGGAGGTTAATGAGGGCGTCGATGAGATTGCCAGTTGCACAAACACAAGCATCAGTCATCAGTTTTTCTCAGAGGAGATTGTTATTGTTTATGTGACCAAGTGGCTCACGCGCTGCCGAGTCACAGTGGCGCTCCCAGGCCGAAGGCTTATAGCGGAAGGCGGTTCTGTGCCCGTCTCTCCTCAGTGCCCTCAGGAGATCGGTCTGCCACCCCTGCCGGTGTTCCAGGGCGCAGCGGTCTCCGGCGAGCACTTCTCTCAGTTACCGCCCGGAAACATAGCAGTGCTAAGAGGCTCGCGACCTCCACGGATGTCTCTAGTACGCAGCTAGTACTCGCTCACACGAAAGAGCTGGGGTTAAGTCTTAACGCCAAGAAAAGTGTGCTTTCCAGTACAGAGAACCACTTATCTGGGCGTGGTGTGGGATTCGACCCCGATGTAGGCACACATGTCTCCTGCTCGGATCGAGTCGATCCTCGTCACGAGAGTGAGAGAAGGCCTGTCACTCACTGTCAAGCAGTTCCAGACTGCTGGGTCTGATGGCAGCCACGTCCAAAGTGGTTACTTTTGGCCTGCTGTACATGAGACCCCTACAGTGGTGGCTTAAGACCAAGGGGTTCTCCCCTAGAGGAAACCCGCTTCGCATGCTCAAGGTCACGCGGCGGGGTCTACGTGCCTTAGACATGTGAAGGAAACCTTGGTTCTTATGTCAGGGCCTGGTGCTGGGAGCTCCTGGTCGCCGCATATGCTAGCGACGGATGCATCTTTCACCGGTTGGGAGCGGTCATGAATGGGCGCTCGGCCCATGGCCTGTGGAGCAGCCGCCATCTCACGTGGCGCATAAGTTGACTGGAGATGCTGGCCGTGTTTCTAGCTTTGAAACACTTCCTCCCAGGCCTAAGAGATCGCTATGTGTTGGTGCGCACCGACAACACAGCAGTGGTCTTTTATATATGTGGGGGCAGACATCCTGTCGAGGCAGGGGCCGAGGCCCGCGGAATAGATGCCTCACCCCGAGGGGTGAAGCAGACTTGGAGAGTCTTTGGCCAGGCTCAGGTGGAATTGTTTGCGACTCGCACTGATATCGCACGGTCCCCTCTGGTTCTCGCTTTGACTCATCCAGGTCCACTGGGGCTGGATGCCATAGTACAGACGTGGCCGAGGCCTTGTCTGTACACCTTTCCCCCGATTTTTCTGCTCCCGGGAGTTCTGGAGAGAGTGCGCTGGAACGAGGTCAGTCGACTGCCAGTAGCCCCGTTCTGGCCGGGGTTCTAGAGAGAGTGCGTCAGGACGGGGTCCGTCTATTGCTAGTAGCCCTGTTCTGGCCGGGCCGAGTATGGTTCTCGGACCTGATTCCTCTCCTCGACGGCGCTCCATGGGAGAATCCCATCAGGAGAGATCTCCTCTCGGGGGGGCGGGCCGCCCCCCCGCCAGAAGCGTTGGAAGCTGTGGGTGTGGCCTCTGAGGAGGCACAACTCATAGCTTCTGGTCTCTCAACCGAAGTTGTTGAGACCATCCTCCATCCAGAGCTCCCTCTATGAGGAAACTGTACTTCTTGGTGCGAAGCCCGCCAGCTCGACCCAACTAACTGCCCATTTGTTACAGTTCTGGAGTTCCTGGAGGCCTGTTTATCCACAGGGTTGACCCACTCCACCCTAGAGGTCTTCATGGCGGCCA